TTTTGAAAGGGTTTGTTTAAAAGTTAGCAGGTGGGCAAATATTGTTGGTCCAGAAATTTAATTAGTTTATACTAGAAGCTGTTGTTTTTTTTTGTAATTCAGTCTGAAGTACAAAGATATTGATTAATTGCCAAAACATAACCTACAATTTGCTTCCAAGCAAAGTACATCCATGTGATAGCTGCATTTATTTGTTTCAGCAAACACTTTAAACCCAAGGTTTGGTTGTTCTTAGCATTATTAGACAATTTGATCTGAAAATGTAGGAAGATGTTTATTATACAAGTCCAATCCAGGAATGACTTTCTAATGGTCTTAAAAATTGTGTGGTGTTGCAGTAATGAAAATTAATATTCCCCAGGTTTCTCTCTTTTATGTGAACTTTTGCATACACCAAGATCATCCTTTGGAAGATAAGATTTTTCTGAAAATATCTGTCATCTGGGTTGTAGCACCACAAAGCCTGGTAGAAGTTTACCAACAATTCAGAGGTCCTTGAAGATGGAGGCAGCAGGGATCTTCCCCCACCCACCAAAAGTGACATAGCCTTTCTGGGTTAAACTCCCAGACACTCCCCCAACCAAAGATGTTTTGCAGAAGGATGAATTTCGCTGTGGGTGACGTTTTGGGCTGTATGAGGAAAGCAATTGCCTCTGTCAGGAATCGAAGTTAGATGTGTCATTTACGAAATTGTTGTGTGTCGTCGTATGATTTTCATTTATCGTTTTTTCCCTTCAGATTTGGGCGTGTCGTCTTCATCTGGTGAGTAAACTTCCCACTTATTTGTTTCCTTCCTGTTCTTATGACCCACAGGGTTTGTAGGCCTGTTTGCATAATCTTCTTCTCTTTTGCCCTGAAGTTTGCAAATAGATCTTTAAAAAACTTCCTTTCGCCAATTGTATATACACGTATTTTAGTTTCAAGTTCATTGCTTTAACCCTCTAAGAAGTAATGAAAGTTGTTATTGTAAATCCAGATCGGAAAGGCCGATTCTTCTAAACGAGTTATCACGTGCGTAGCATAGAAAGGGGCGATCTTAGTAAGTGCCTAAATTGAATTACACGCTTCTGTACGAGACCGCGCGTCGTGACGAATCGCTTTTCCCTAGTGTACGCGGTTTACAGCGGGTACTGCCCCTCGCGGGCAGTGGGTCGAATCCTGTTTCAATATTTGTTTCCTCGCTTCGTCTATTTGATTATTTTGAAACGAAGTGCGTGAGGTGAACGCGGGTTTTATATTCGAGAGGTTCTGAGTTCAGATCTCGGTCCGGAAACCCAATCTCCTGGTATAAGATTTTCGTACTTTTCCTCAGTCCCTCGGGCCAGATGCCTTAGATAGTATTTTTTAATCTGTGGCAAGAGGCCACGTACCCCAAGTATGACGCCGTGGGATACAAACAATGGTTCGCATCAGCGGACCGAAACTCCCACTGGCTTCAGGGAATTCTTTTCTTCGTCGTAAACGTGCGACCTTCCATCTTATATTAGTTCCACACTTTCCCCGGACCTATCAGGAGAGAAACAAAAATCAATTTTGTTTTAATTCTGTATCCAATTTTTTGCACAACAATTTTGATTACAGAGCCGTTGTTCAGGTTGGGACCGAGTGGGGGGGGGGAGGCCTATTGTTAGCGAAGGATTTCAATTAGCTCAGCGGTAGTGTGGCTTGCTCGCTCATTCCGCCCTATATAATCCAAATGTCTTTTTTTATTATTATTTTCGTCAGTGGATGCGAATATGAAATGTTTTAAGTGTGTTTTTTTTTTGCTAGGCTAATCTTCCATTTGCAACTGCACATGTAGGAATTCAGCAGGCGGCCATTTGTTTATTAAAAGTCTGCCGATTCCGAATTACTTTTAATTGGATGTTTCGTACACATGAATATATTTTGTAATAGATTGGTAGAAATACTCACAACAGCTGAGTGGTAACTATATGTACCACCTTCTTTAATAATCAGCGAGTCTGAGGTTTGCCCCCAAAGTTTTTCGTGTTATCGTAAGACTGTAAACAGCGATTATTCAATTAATTAGCGTTAATCAGTTGATCTTTAATCTATAATGAGTTTAAGAGTTTTGCAGAATACTCGTTGACTGTAGAATTAATTAAGATTTCTCTAAATTTAAGTGTGTTTAATGTTTGTTTGTACCTCTGTGGGAACAGAATTCGGTCTGTTTTGGCTTGTAGTTGCAATAATCTTTGGAAATAACTTAATTTCAGTTCAAGATATGAAAAATCATTACTTCTAACAATCACTAAGAATCGACTTATAATGGCGATATTCTTTGTCTGTCTGTCTGCTCTCCTTTCCATATTCCAGGCTATTAGATATTTTTAGATGCTGATATTAGAATATACGAGTATATTTTTCTCTTCGGACTCCGAAACCAAAATTTTGCAAGTATTTATCTTTCTTTGCGTGCTACATTCCCGGCCAAGCCCATCTTCATTAAGTTTATCATCATAATATTTGGCGGCGATTGAAAATAATTGAACTACTCGTTATGAAATTTTTATCGTCTGTCATCACTTCGTCCGTTTTTGCACGAAATAAACTTCGGCTCGCCATTGCAGAATAACCTCACTTTGTGTTCTCTTAATTTGACCTCTATTTTTCTGTCTTGCAAGTGGGCACTTTCTTTAACATCGACACCAGTGAGATGTGGAAAATGAGAGCCATCGTGTGATGTCGCATACGGCCCGGTTTATTTTGTACACCACTGAAACTGGCCTTACGATGCTTGGCCACCCCTGGGTGCTGGTACATTCATTTGTAATTGAATTTTGTTTTCGTAACCGACTAATTGGTGTTCTAATGATAATGAGTTCGTTTGCGATCGGCACATCGAAGGACGTGATTTGCCGTAGATTCCGTAGACCCCAGATGTCCACTCCGCCGCGTTCGTTCGGTCTCTGTGTGTCGTGTTTGTGCGGCGTCCGAAATGACGGCCCCTGATTGTGTTTCGATTCGTGTTTGTTCTGTCGTCTGTTTTCGCATGTAGTTAACACTTCGATTATTATTTGGTCGGTCGCTGTTTGCGTTTTCGCTCGTCTGGAAACAACAAAGCGACGTTTTCACAAACTGTGAGCGAAATCACCATTTGAAACTGTTAAAGTGTAATCGTTACCACAGGAACGTAATTTTAAGCAATTTCGTAGGAACAAAGTACGTCGTTAAATTACCAGTGTCCGATATTTACGTTAGCATCTTAAAGACGAAAGGAGGTTAAGACGGATGTACATATTAAATTTAAGTGGGTTTGTGATACTCGCCGAGAAGAATGAGATTGGCGGGGCATGTAGCGCGCATGGATGGGGCAAGAGGTGTGGACCGGGTATTGATCGGGAAGCCTGAGAGAAAGAGACCGCTGGAGAGACCTAGACGTAGATGGGAGGATAATCTCAGGCGGGATCTATGGGAGATAGGAGTTGAAGGAGACTGGATTTTGTTGGCCCAGGACAGGGTCCGGTGGAGAGCTTTGGTTAATTCGGTGATGAACCTTCGGGTTCC